TAAAAAGTATCTAAAATGTTGGACCAGTACCATTGGCTTATAAGTAAAAAGAGCACTTTAAAAAAAAAGTTACACTGTCTAGTCAATGGAGAGATTTTGAAATAGGTGTAAATAAGCAAATGCAGTCAAATCATTCTATTTTTCATATGAAATCCCATCTATGCAATGCTCTGGTGATAAAACCAACCAACAAAGAACTACTGTATTCATATGAGCTGTGAACTGAGTTAAACAGGTTGGGTTGAAAAATTCAGTATTTAACTTTTTATCTTATTACATTTTCTCTTAATTTGTACCTTCTTCAATTGTTTGTTTCCACTATTGTTGTTCCTATTATGAGCAAACAGATATTTTCAGTCATGACCTTTATTTTAGATTATTCAGAATGACCTTTATTTTAGATTAGAACAACAAAGCAAGAACAAAGCAAGTAAGGTTTCCATGAACAAGCACAGTGTGTGTATCTCGCTTCTGTGGCAGTCTGCACTGAACTGTGTGAATACATATGGGCTACCTGGAAACAGCAGAGTTCTTAGCAATTTAAAGGTGCAGTAAACAGGAAACAAAGAAATAACAGTTTCATAGCCAAATAATTCAAATTATTCATTGTATGAAGGTACCGGATTTGCTCAATTCACTCCAGTACTAATGGTAGTGTTACCCAGTACAGAACAGCTGCAAAAAGATGCTATTGGAGTTACATAAAAGGTATCCTCACTTGGAGGATTCAGTAGCAGACCTGGTCAATGATACCTTTTAGACTTTCAGGTCAGACCTGCTAACGTTAGTCCATTTTTGCCCTCAAATTGCAAAAGAGCAGAACTACTAATCGAGGAAAAATCAATAAGATCAGTAAGATTGTTACTCTGTTTTCTATTGCTTTTATGAATCTGTAATTCTTCTTTGTGAAATCATCCAACACCTTTGTTTCTCTACACCAGGTACAGTGATAAGAGAATGGAACTGTGAAAGGTGATCTTTGTTATAGAGACTGGATAGGTGAGCGGTGGTTAGTTAAAAACACAATGTGTGTCGTTTTAGTGAAGAATGTAGTTTGCTTCCAAATAATTCTTGGACCTGATTCACCACTGTGTTACTGCAGTTTTACGCCAATGAAAGTCCAGTGATGCAGTGGTGAATCAGGTCCCTTTTCTTGATTTTGAAAATCAAAAAATCTATTAAAAGTTTGACCATTTAAGGAAAACTGCCACTGGATTGGGAACCAAATGAAGATCTTCATGTTTTATTATATAATTTCTAATTACACATAAAAGTTAATAAAATGCTAGGAAAAAGCTAAAGGTAACTTGAACATTTAGTAACTTGAATCGACAAAACCCCTCCAAAATTCCCAGACAGATAACTATAAAACAAACAAAACAACAACAAGACCCTATGTAACTTCAAAATGAACACTGATTTCTATACAAAACAGAATTATACATATTTCATTAATGAATCTGTGGGATTTATCCCTATAAAATTATTTCAGATTGCTTTAATGTGCAAACATTATTAGCTCTTTACTACTGTAGTATTGATTTTCTATGTTATTTTTTTAAATTTCCCTTTCCAAATTTAAAATAATTTAGTTCAAATAACATGTTTTCTAATATCGTAACATGCAAGCCACAATTAATGTGGTCATTCATAGGACAAGTAGAGTAAATGGTATATATTCCAATTAAACCGTTGACATTTTGGTAGGTTACATATAACTTTTATATTATTCTTTTCTAACCGATAATGTGAATTTGAATTCAAGAAAACCTCTTAACTAAACTAACAGACACTTTAATTTATTATGGGTTGGGCTGGAAATCTTCTTTTATGTGCTGCTTACCCAGGTCAGCTTTCTGCCTGTAATGATCAATAGTCCATCTCCTAAAACTAAAAATACTGGTCTGATAACTGTAATCCTGCCTTTTAACTAAAATAACTGTTCTAAGCTGAAGAGATAAGGATGTTCGACAATCTCCTTGTACATTGCAAAGATTATTTGTAAGATTAAGTTGACCCTGTAACCTCTTCTTACACCCTTGGCTTAAAACATTTAGTTTTCTCCTATAGAAGTTGAGAGGAGCTGGAAGCAGAGCTGCCCTAACAAATGTTTGTTGAATGATAGATTGTAGAAGATATAGCTAAAGTCAATAAGAAACAGTTATAGCACCCAGGAAGTGTCTTTGTAACCAGTTTAATTTAATTTTTAAAAAGCTATTTCAAATTTTTAGCCAATGATGATACTTTTTCTGAAAAATAGGTACATGCTATCCCCTTTAACATCAACTGACCATATATTAAACATATTTATCATGTTGGAAGTGGTTTAGAGAAACTGAGATTACAGAATGAAGTAGTCCCAGATGTTGAAATACTGATTTTCCTATGATGCCTTATGATTTCTCTTTGGAGTGTTCTCTTATCGGTGTATGTTCATGTATTAAGTCATTATGGGCCAGAGCATCAGCTGGTGTAAATCAGCGTACTTCCATTGAAGTCACTATATTTTAGACATCATGAGATCTTAAATGATCACAGGTTAACTGCTTTACATCTCATCCAAAAGATGGCACAGTTAGCACCACAGTGCGCTCTGGTGTCAGGCTAGAACACTAGTTCAGCAACAATTCAATCGGAAGAGTGTAACTTACTAAATAAGAACATAAGAACGGCCATACTAGGTCAGACCAAGATCCATCTAGCCCAGTATCCTGACTTCTGACAGTGGCCAATGCCAGGTGCCCCAGAGGGAATGAACAGAACAGGTTATCATCAAGTGATCCATCCCCTGTCGCCCATTCCCAGCTTCTGGCAATGGGCGACAGCCATTGATAGACCTATCCTCCATTAATTTATCTAGTTCTTTTTTTAACCCTGTTATAGTCTTGGCCTTCACAACATCCTCTGGCAAGAAGTTCCACAGCTTGACTGTGCATTGTGTGAAAAAATACTTCCTTTTGTTTGGTTTTAAACCTGCTGCCTATTCATTTCGTTTGGTGTTCCCTAGTTCTTGTGTTATGAGAAGAGGTAAATAACACTTCCTTATTTACTTTCTCCACACCAGTCATGATTTTATAGACCTCTATCATATCCCCCCCTTAGTCGTCTCTGTTCCAAGCTGAAAAACCCAATCTTATTAATCTCTCCTCATACGGCAGCCGTTCCATACCCGTAATAATTTTTGTTGCCCTTTTCTGAACCTTTTCCAATTCCAATATATCTTTTTTGAGATGGAGCACGCAGTATTCAAGATTTGGGCATACCATGGATTTATATAGAGGCACTATGATATTTTCTGTCTTATTATATATCCTTTTCTTTCTGTTCACTTTTATCATTGCCGCTGCACATTGAGTGGATGTTTTCAGAGAACTATCAACAATGACTCCAAGATCTCTTTCTTGAGTGGTAACAGCTAATTTAGACCCCATCATTTTATATGTATAGTTGGGATTATGTTTTGCAATGTGCATTACTTTGCATTTATCAACACTGAATTTCATCTGCCAATATGTTGCCCAGTCACCCAGTTTTGAGAGATCCTTTTGTAGCTCTTTGCAGTCTGCCTGGAACTTAACTATCTTGAGTAGTTTTGTATCATCTGCAAATTTTGCCACCTCACGATTTACCTCTTTTCCAGATCATTTATGAATATGTTAAATAGGACCGGTCCCAGTACAGATCTCTGGGGGACACCAATTTACGTCTCTCCATTCTGAAAACTGACCATTTATTCCTATCCTTTGTTTCCTATCTTTTAACTAGTTACTAATCCATGAGAGAAACTTCCCTCTTATCCCATGACTGCTTACTTTGCTTAAGAGCCTTTGGTGAGGGACCTTGACAAAGGCTTTCTGAAAATCTAAGTACACTATATCCACTGGATCCCCCTTGTCCACATGCTTGTTGACCCCCTCAAAGATTTCTGGTAGATTGGTGAGGCATGATTTCCCTTTACAAAAACCATGTTGACTACTCCCCAACAAATTATGTTCATCTACGTGTCTGACAATTTTGTTCTTTACTATAGTTTCAACCAGTTTGCCTGGTACTGAAGTCAGGCTTACCAGCCAGTAATTGCCAGGGTCACCTCTGGAGCCCTTTTTAAAAACTGGCATCATATTAGCTATCCTCCAATCACCAATACAGTTTCTTGCAGCACTTTATATTTTCCTTACAGGCTTCCAGTCCAAGTGCTGACCCAGCCCAATCCATTTTAGTTTGTAAAAATCTGATTTGCTGTAGCACCATGCCTCTGGTTTAACCAAAAGGTGCTGTTCTAATACTATTATTTCTACTAATAATAATTAAGGCTGCCTTTTAGTCATGGGTATTTTTAGTAAAAGTCATGGACAGGTCACCAGCAGTAAACAAAAGTTCACGGAGCCCCCTGGCCCCTCCACTACCTAGGAGCTGCAGGGCCATGCCAGTGGGAGCCGGGGGGCTCCCCACCCCGAGGTAAGTGCCCCCCATACCCTCCAACCCCCTGCCCCTAGCCATGAGCCCCCTCCCACACACCCAAACTGCTGCTGCTAGCCCAGGGGATGCCCAGCTTGGGCAGCCCCGAGCCAGCACCAGCTGCTGCAGAAGTCACAGAATGTCACAAAATCTGTGACCTCCATGACAGACTTGCAGCCTTACTAATAATAAAAGTAGAAAAAAAGGAAAATTCCCATTGGCATCATAGTCTCTGGGTATATATGTGTGTGTCTGCATATTATATATGAAATAGATTCTTTCCATTGGTTTGTTCACATAACAGTCCCTGTACACTGGCATGTTATTCCATTAGCCAGAATTTTGTATATTAAGTATACTTAGTAGTTGTGTAGTATTTTTAGTAGCACCTCACACAAAACTGCATCCTCTTTCAACTCTTTTTTAATTAAAAAAAAAGCACAACCAAAAAATTCAAACTTCACAGCGTTAGCAATTTTAAAAATAAGAGTTGAATAACAGAAGCAGCACCCCTTAGCTGTGGATAAAGTGTTATTAAATACTGGCAATCGCTCTGATACTGGAGCAGGATGGGGAGAGTCAAGAGAAAGATGGGTCCTTCAAGGAATCATATTTTTTGTTGCTTTCCTTGTAACAATTGAAGATTTTCCCTTCCTTCTTCCTCTCTCTCCTCTTTCTTTCTTCTTCATTTCTTTTCCACACAGCTCACTTGGCCTCACAATCTGAATAAGAGGAAGTCATGAAAGCCTAAAAGATTAACAACAAACAACCAAAGCAAAATTAATAAACCCTTTAGAGACTTTTAAATCCACAGTTCTTTTCTTTCTGCATCCTTGATACTTGTGTGGAATAGTATTTGATCTGCTGACATAATTCAAAAAGGAAATGTTACAGAGATCATTCAAAGAATTGTACCCACTGTTGTGTCCATTTGTTGGAGTAAACCTATATATGTCACCTTGTACATGAGAATGTAAGAGAGTGAGAGGGCTCTCCTGCCACATTGTTAACAAGTTTTTAACTCTTCATAAGGCCAGTGAAGTTCTGCAGACTGGCTGGGGCTCATTAACTTCATACTATACTTAAGAAGGTGAGTGTGGGCCTCTAAGATGAGAGAACTGGAGAGCTAGGAGGTGAACACCAGGAACTGCCAATCTGAAGGAGGAAGTTTAGATTGAGATTTGTATTGTGTCATTGTTTCTAAGTTACCAATAAAGAAGGGCGATTTTGAGCACTACCTCGGGGTTTGTGTGCTCTGTGGCGTGGAGGTAGGGACTCCGCACTCAGATACCCTTGTGCTGGGTGCTAATACAAAACCGTAAAATAAATAGATTAGACCTCACTACGAAGAGTGACTTGTTTCATTACAAAGCAATCAAAACATTTATCCTGTTTGTTTCAAAATAGGTCTCCCCTTTTGGAAGTCAAGAAGGGAAGAGATGAACCTCTGGAGGTTTTAGGCATGGGCTTGGTTAGCCTAGGCACCTAAAAGTTCATATATGGAAAAGTTTGAATGCTTAACTGCACTAGAGCCTCACATCTCTCAAACCATATGACCCTTCCTTCCTCACACAGACCCAACGATTCTCACCCATCCCTATAAGACACCCCAACAGTCTTGGGCTTGAATTGTCAGAGGGTGGAGGGTGGAGGGGAATGGTGGTATTCTTTTCCACCCCATTCTCTCCCTCTCTCTATTTATGGGAGGCCTGCAGCACATTCTCCCTCCAAATTCTTTCTCTCGTCATCTTCAGTGGGGCAAGCAAGTCTGCCCACTCTTTTCTTCTTCTCTGTGACCCTATGCATTCCTCTGGATCCAGTTGAGCTGCATCTGGCCCTTCAACACACTCTAGGGCAGAGAGGCCCAAGAGTCCACTGTAGTATGCAGCAGTGTGGGGATACCAATACGCCACTCCTTCACATGTGTAGCTTAATTAATTAGTAATTAAAGGGTGCTTTGAAATCTTACAGTGAAAGGCACAATGATAGGACATTGTTTTTATTGCTATTTATTATGGTAACTATTGTTAATTTGTCTTTATAATTCCCACCTGAGTAAGACACAGATCAGACCTGGTTTGATGTTATTGTTTCAGTCTTTCTGACTGTAGACTCAACAAGACAACAGTGTATCCATTTATACATTTTCAACAGGGCTGGCGCTTCCACTAGGCGACCCTAGGCGGTCGCCTAGGGCAGCAGGATTTGGGGGGCGGAAATTCGGCGGCGGGGGTCCTTCCGCTCCAGGTCTTCGGCGGAAATTCGGCAGTGGGTCCTTCACTCACTCCGGGACCCGCCACCGAAGTGCCCCGAAGACGCGGAGTGGAAGGACCCCCGCTGCCAAATGCTCAGAGGAGGAGCGCTGCCGCCTAGGGCAGCAAAAACCCTGGTGCCGTTCCTGATTTTCAAGGTTATCTTCATAACCAACAGGCTTGAAACATCAGATTTTTAAATGAAAACTATGACAGTGTGGCTTCTCAGTTCTTTGAAAATTAGGCCACTAGCAGGTACAAAAAAAAATCATTCTGCTGCTCCATCCCTGGACCAGGTTCATCAAGCATGGTCAAAATAATAATAAACATCACAGGAATCAATCTCCTAGGGCAATAACCCTGGCCTTTAACCACCAGCAGCAACAACAACAACAACAATGTAGAAAGTTGGGAAGATGGAGATGTTGATGGGGTTAAATTAAGTTTTCATGTGTCTAAAAACTGAAGAGCAGTGGAAATTTCCTTTGATTAATTTGACATTTTTTGTTGCTGTGTTCACCCGCCAATACTATTAAAATGCCTTTTATAGGCGATAAATGAGTAATAGAGATTCCAAAACAATGCCATAAGATCAGCTTTCTGAATAGAGAAGTCTGCTAATTTGCTTTTAAAATCCTTTTCTAAATAATTGTAAAAATATGAAGAATTCAAACTCTAGGAATATTTGTATTGGTCTTACACAATGCTGTGTCTATGCCTCTCAAGTTCTGATCTCTAGACCAAACACTTCTGTTCTGAGTACTAGCACAATAAGTTTTCAGCAGGTGCTGGTCAAAAAACAGAAAAAAAATTCAGCGTGAAAAGCTATATATTTTCCCAGCACGTTGTTTGTCTGACCTTGATTTTGCCAACTATTAGTTCCAGAAGCAAAATACTTCATTCTCAGACTCTCATCCGTCACCTTGGAGATTATAGTCATTAGGGCTAATGAGTTCCTGTTTCATATAAGCAAAGAATTGTAGGACTGGAAGAGCCCTCGAGAGATCATCTAGTCCAGTCCCCTGCACTCATGGCAGGACTAAGTATTATCTAGACCATCCCTGAAAGGTGTTAGTCTAACCAGCTCTTAAAAATCTCCAGTGATGGAGATTTCACAACCTCCCTAGGCAATTTATTCCAATGCTTAACCACCCTGACAGGAAGTTTTTCCTAACATCCAACCTAAACTGCCCTTGCTGCAATTTAAGCCCATTGCTTTTTGTCCTATCATCAGAGGTTAGGGAGAACAATTTTTCTCCTTCCTCCTTGTAACAACCATTTATGTTCTTGATAACTGTTATCATGTCCCCGCTCAGACTTCTCTTCTTCAGAGTAAACAAACCCAATTTTTTCAGTCTTCCCTCACAGGTCATTTTTTCTAGACCTTTAATCATTTTTGTTGCTCTTCTCTGGACTTTCTCCAATTTGTCCACATCTTTCCTGGAATGTGGCACCCAGATTTTTACATAATACACCTCTACCCTGATATAACGCTGTCCCCGGGAGCCAAAAAATCTTACCATGTAATAGGTGAAACCGTGTTATATCAAACTTGTTTGATCCACTGGCGTGCGCAGCCCCCCCCCCCCCCCGGACGCACTGCTTTACTGCATTATATCCAAATTCATGTTATATCGGGTTGCGTTATATCGGGGTAGATGTGTACTCAAATTGTTAACTCTTTTGAACAAAGTCTAATTTTTGAGTACTTCCCTTGGCCCAAGGTTCCCATCATACATATTGGGATCAGAATGATAGCTCCTTGTCTAACTGAACAACTGGTCTGTCATCTATGAATTACATCTTTGTGCAGCTCAATCTATAAAGCAAGACTTTGAGACCTTGATATTGATTTAAGGGTCCAGTACAGGTGCTATGTATCACATCTTCACTAACTGCTAAAGGAATATTTAATCAGTACACTTTCCCCAACTAGGTTGCTTTGGAAATGCTACCTGAACTGTAAATTATTTGGATTTTTAAATTACTTTGTGTGGCAAAATCTGTTGCATGACAGCCTGAGTTAAAAGAGTTAAACTTAAATGCATAAAGACTTTAAAAAAAAGTCTGTCTGAAGCAAATAAATTCATTTATCCTCTCAGTGAGGGCATCATGGAAATCATACACACACATACATATTGAACAAAAGAGAAAAGAAAAAGTCAATTAATTTTCTAAAATGGAAATGTTCTGGGGCAATCAAAACATGGGGCAGAGAATGTGGTACATGTGTTCAGGGTTTTGTAATGGTCATGCAACTGTGTGTGTGAAAACTTTGCATTCACCTATAAGTCATCTCTGCTTCCTATCAGGATCCTACACTATGCTCAGAGCACTGCTGTGTACCTACCACTCTCACTATGGCAACCCCTTGCTTGAGTCCCTGCATTAGGATCACGTGCCGGAATGCACTTAATTATGTGCTTATCTTTAAGCATGTAAGTCATTCCAATGAAGCCAGTGAGACTGCCCACACACTTAACTTTAAGCATCTGCTTAGTGCTCTGCTCGATAGGGGCCTAGCTCTTGATTTACTTCCATATCATATTCAAACACTTCATCCACATCTTCAAGGCTCTATTCAGATCCACCCCTGCCTTTATCTTGGTGTCTCTTCTAATACTTTTCTCCCAACCTATGGTATCAGCACATCTTTCCTTGACACTATGCTCATTTCTTCTCCTGTAAGCAGCTGTTTGCCCTGTCCCATGACTCTCCCTGTGCTTGAAATATCTCCCTTGATCATGTGCACCACAGCACCACACTGTTGTCCTTCACATCCCTCCTCCAGACTCCTTTTTGTCAGCAGCATTTTACATTGTTGACCCCCTCCCACACCTCAGCTTTCATGCCAAACAGCTTCCATAAACCCTAATATGTTAAACTTTTGGATTTTCTTCTTTTTTATCTAAGAGGACCTAACAAGATGTGTACATAATATTAACCACATCTCATGAGTGGTCACTGTTGTAATGCTCTTCCTCCTATACTACCTTACCAAACCCCTTTGTTATTGTCACTTCCTTTGCTGTGCAAATTCTAATTGAGATTGTAAGATCCTTTAGGGACCTGTCATTATATTTATTTGTCAAGCACCATGCACACCACAGAAGTGTATACATAATAAAAATAATAATCTAATAACCCAGTTCCTGTTGTTTGTCCACTGTTGGCCAGATTCTGATTTTAGTTGCACTGCTCTAAACAGTATGACAGAAAGGAAATAAAATATAAAACATGCATGCCCCAGCACTCATATAGCCAAACTGTATATAAACACACGCTCAGCACCAGCTTCTTCATAGCTATAAAACTTGCAATGGGAGAATCTCCAAAGGTTCAGATTTTGAATGCTTATCTGAATTAACTGGACCTACAGAGGACTCCATCAAGCCGTGCAGCTTTCTGTTCCCAAACAAATTTACTTCATTTAGTAGTCCTTGTGCCAGGCTCTGCCCTACAGCCCCTATACCTGGTGTTGTCTTCTTGTGGGGAAGAAATTGTGGGTACCCTTGGGTACCCTAGGGTAATTT